TCAACTTTTCCTTCAATAACAAAGTCATCCAATTTATGTGGAAAAACAGAAACTCTAGTAGACCTTCTAGAGGGTTGGATAGAAGAAGGTATGCTAAGAGCACCCTCATAATTGAGACTTGTGGAATGAGTTTCATCATTTTGTTGAGTACCAGCAGCCACGTCAGAGCTACTCAAGAGTTTTCATCTGGTAACTCTTTCAAGGTTATTTTCAAATTGAGTTGAAGAACCTTGGTTAATTGACTCATTTGAGCTGCCTAGAGGCTCCTCATTGGCAACTCTAGTTGGGCTACCTAGCAATCTACAATTATTAGGGGCAGAAACAGACTGATGTATATGTTCATCAACAGAATGGTCTCCATTCTCATCACTGGGTATGGAATCCACAAACTTATTAGATGAACTATTCATGAAATCAAAGAAGTTTAATCTGTTAACATCATCATCACTAGAATGATCAATCCTGTTCGTCCTCATCTTAAATGAAAAAAATATTTTTATAAAACTTGACATCACGAGAAACGACACATTTTTTAGATTCCAAGCTAAACAACTTGTAACCTTTCTTTGAACCAACATACCCTAACAAGACATATTTTTTAGATTTTGGTGAAAATTTATCTGTTACATTAGGTATGACAACAAAGCAAAGAGAACCAAAATTCCTAAAATGAGTAAGGCTAGGTTGGAATCCGTAAACTAACTCATGAGGGCACTTACCATTTAACATAGAGGTTGGAGTTCTATTTATTAAGTAGGTGGCAGTAAGAATGCACTCGCTTCACGTATTTAAGGGAACCCCTCCCCTAAAACATAAGATCCCTAGTAACATTTAGTAAGTGACGATGTTTACGTTCAACAACCCCATTCTGTTGGGGAGTATAAACACAAGAGGCCTGATGTAAAATTCCTTTATTTTTAAAAAAATTCACTCAGTCTTTGACTCATAAATTCAAAACCATTATCACTTCTTTTTTTTTTTTTGCACATTTTCCAAATTGAGTTTTAAGCAAATTATAAAAGGTGATGATATTTTCTTCAACTTCATGTTTACCTTTTAATAAAAAGACCCAAACAATACGAGTATAATCGTCAACAACAGTGAGAAAATATTTATGACCTTCCCTACTTCGAACATAAGGTCCCCAAACATCCAAGTGAACCGGGTCACCTAGATCTTTGGATTTATGAATACTTGATTCAAACTTCTCCCGAGTTTGTTTTGCCTTATGAAAAATTTCATAAGGCCCACAGTCATCATTATCAATTTTAAGACATTTTTTTAACATTTTTAGAACTTGGTCAGCGAGATGATCAAGACGACTATACCATAATTAGGTAGAAGCTAAGCAAGATATATTAGATTTATGAGAAGCACAAGAAGACTCACTGTTAAAATTTTGATCAAAATAATACAAACCCCCTTCTTGACTACAAGTCCCCACTACATTACTTCGTAGCGAATCCTGGACATAACACTTTGATTCATCAAATCCTACAAACACTTTATTATTCCTAGCAAGTTTGTGAACAGATAACATATTAATATTGAAATCTGGAGCAACCAACATATCAAACAAAGTTACATTATTTGACAACTTGAAATCCCCAATTTTATTTATTTTAGCTTTTGTTTCATTAGGATGACTAACTCTGAAATCAATCAACAATATCAACAATGTTATTGAGAAAAACAGTATTGTGAGTCATGTGTTAATTTGCGCCAGAGTCAATAATCCATCCATATCTAAGAGATTTAAAGATTCCTGCCATATAGTAGTAGCACCTTCAGATGGATGTTTTTGCTCAATTAATCTTAGTAATCTGGTCTTTAGAAAAGGAAAATGAAGATTGGGATTCAACAATTTTAGTAGGAGTTGACTCAGAAAGATATACATTGTTGGCTATATATTTTTGAAAGGTTGATTTTGATGTCTGGACCGATTTTGAAAATTATTTAGGAATCCTATGAGTTTAAAACACCTTCCAATTGTATGTTTAGAAGCTCCACAGTGCTTACAATTTAGGGTAGAATTTCTACCTACACGATGCTTGTTGTCAATGATCTTGCTAAAGAAGGCTGTATTTTGAGGTTTGGATCGAGACTGAGTCAAATTTCCTCCTCTGTGAGACTCTTCTCTTGAGACAAGAGAAAAGACAGTTTTTAAAGAGGGAAGGGGATCCTTAGTGAGAATGTTGCTTCTAATGGGTTGATATATATCATCAAGGCCCATTAGAAATTGCATGAGCTTAACCAGCTGAGTATGTTCAAAAAAATATTGAGATGCATTACATGTAGACGAGGGAAGTTTAAGAAGAGCATCAAATTGTTTCCATACAGAATTGAGTTTATGATAATACTCAGATACAGTTCCATTCTGACTTAAAGATTTAATTTTCTAATGAAGGTTAAACATAACAGACCCATCAACTTTATCATAGGTTTCTTTCAAATCCTCCCAAACCTTAAAGGACTCTTTGGAGAACATATGTCCTAGAAATAGATCCTCAGTCATAGAACTCAGAATCCAGGAAAGGACAATTGAGTTACATCGATCCCACTGTCTCTCTAAGATAGGATCATTTATAGATCTAGGACAAGATCCATCAATAAACCCAATCTTATTTTTAGTTTCTAAAGCCAATGTCATAGCGCACACCCAAACTTTGTAATTATCGGTACCATACAATTTAACAGTCAGTAAAGGAGTTCCACTAGTATCATTGTGATGCAGGTACAATGGGTCTCCAAAGTCCAGACTGGTAACTTTGGATTTCATTGACCTACCAGTATCAACTTCAGAACCAAACATAGCCACACACAAGAGACTGAATAGATAAAAGTAGGATTCCTAAAACACTTAAAGTGCTAGGTCAAGCTAATTATGCAGCTCCACATACAAAAAGAAAAGAAACAACAGAAACAGACTTACCACAAGAAAATATGCACAGAACAAAAAAGGAGAGAAGGAAACTGACGTGGAAACCAGGTCTCAGCTAAGCAACTTTAACCTAGGTTAAAGTAAGGGAAGACGCAAACCAGGACAACCTGAAGAAACAGAATGGGCACCCATACCTGAAAAACACAGATCTGAAAAAAATTAGGAGATGAGGTAGTAAAAGGCCCCACACAACCTGTACAAGGGATCTATATACAAGAATACAGATTCGTACACAACCAAAGGAAAACAGAAAAACAGGGGATGAGGCAATAACGTACGTCACATAGCCTGTACAAGGGATCTATGTACAAGATCACAGATCAGAAAGAAGCAACAACAAAAACAAGTATAGTAGGTAGGGAAGGGAAGTACAGGTCTGAAATAGATTTGTTGATCCATACCTTTATCTACACACTTACTTGGTTGCAAGGAACAAGACAAACAAAGAGAAATAAGAACCAAACCCTCAAGTATAGTAGTAAGGAACGGTAATTACAAATCTAAAGAAGATCTGTTGAGCCAAACCGTTAACTACGCACGTACTTGGATTAAGAATGCAATAACCAAAAAGGAGACCTTACAGATCAATATTAACAGTAACAACCACTAGATCTTAAGGAACAAAAAAACCACTAGAAAACAATAATAACAAATCAACTAGAATGAGTATTACAGTGGCGACTGGTAGATCGAGACCTTAAAAGATCTTTGCAAACCAAGTCTGAGACTGTTCACTTACTTGAATCAAAAAGAGCAATTGATACATAGAAACAAATGAATATAGTTGTTTGAGAAAAGAACACATGAGTATACAAGATTTCATCAACGAATGGCGATACAAGATCTCAAAGAATCTTCACGAGCCAGAACGTTGAATGAACATTTACTCAAACAACCAAACAGAAAACAAAAAGATAGGAAGAATACATACCTGAATAGCTCCAACCAGATCCTTGAAAAGCAGAAGGAAGACTAGCGAAACACTTACTGATTTAACAACAACAGATCTTTACAGGGCTTTGATACCATGAAGAAAATTGTAAACAAAATATTCATTTCATATTATCAACGATTACAACAAGAAAAATAATACGAAAACCCTAGATCTGTAAACTAGTTAGCTAAAGTAGCTAAGAAGAAACGACAGAACTAGAGAGAGATATCATAAACATAAAATGAATAATACTGAATACAACAAAAAGAAGAGAGATCATAAACATAAAATGAATAATACTGAATACAACAAAACGAGAAAAGCCTATATATTAATAAGGTACACTACAAGAAAAATAACCTTCAGAGAAGATTCTGTTTTGTACTTAAAATTCTTAAAAGCTTCTCTAAAGGCTTTAGAGAAGCTTTTCATTTCCGTCAACAAGCTTCTCTATGTAAGGGTAGGTAAAGGTTTTAGAGACGGTTTTCGGAGGGTATGTTTTTGGTAGCTTTTAGAGACACTTTTTTAGGGGTTTAGATACACTTCAAAACTTCTCTAAAGGTTAGTTAACTTTTTTATAAAAGCTTCTCTAAATGTATTTATTAGTGACATTTTTCAAGTATTAATGACGGTTTACAAACGTCTCTAAAAGGTGCTTTCAGAGAAGGTTTACAAAACAGCTTCTCTAAAGATATTAGCTTTAGTGACATTTTACCTAAACCTTCTCTAAAGGTAACCTTTAGTTACACTCTACAAACCTTCTCAAAAGATTATCTTTATATATAAATAATCAAAACCTTCTCTAAATCTTATCTTTAGATACACTTTTAAAAGATCAATTCATTCTCTAAAGGGCATGTTATTATTATTTTTCATCCATATTTAAGATCTATATTTGTATATAATTATATATTATATTAATCAACAAAAACAACATAAAAATCTCAAAGCAATAAATTGATATAAATTTATAATATATAAAAAAAAATAAGTTCTCAAAACATTCCCCAACATTCAATCAATCTATAAATCCATTTTCTAACATCCTCCCTACACTCTTCGCAAAACTTGATACTCTACCTATCACATGACATCTCTTTTCTAACTCTTTTATAGTTTGTCCAAATAGAACCACGTTTGTTACTTTGCACATATGACGAAGCCTCGTCTGATTGCAAGTGGTCTGCAAAGGTGTTAGCCATAATGCAATAATTTCATGTGAACCGCTAACTGTGACAATTTCCCTCTTTATCTACAACAAGTCAATAAGCCATCAGAACATTTCATTAGCAAAATGAATATTTAAAACCTACATATAATTTCAAGTTTAACATTTTCCTATTTATGCATCATAAAGCAGAAGAATGTATTAAACCTGCAGTTATCCTTTTTATACAAAGTCGGCAGCCTCCTCAGACAGAATATATGAGCAACAACGCCATCATAATCACACTTGCTTAAAACCTGAAGGAAAACAATGGTAAAACATTAGTCAAAGTATTAGTTTGTTCCAAAACAAAATCGAACCTAATAAATAGATCGTTACAAGTAAAAAGTGTGTAATGATTTCAACAACCACGGTCCAAGAATACTCAAAAAGCATCGGCCAAGACTTACAATTTAAGAATTATAAGATAAAACGATTTAGGTAAACAACCCCTAACTTTAAATTAGAATGATGGCATGGTGGTGATGCCTCTCTTTTCCAGATGTTGATCAGGACTCAAATTGCATTTTGTAATGCAATACGAACAAAACAAACGGGAGAAAGAACACATGAATGTGGTTAGATCCCTTGGCATAAATACAAAACAAACTATAGTAACATAATTAAACTACCAATCATTATCTATAATACCAGAATTAATCCATTTATCAACAAGTATAGAGATGCTATATTTTTCATATCAAGAGAACCAACAACCGAAGTCTATTGGAAATCTAAGCCTATAATAAATGCTATTGGTAATTGAATAGTTGGCAGCGAAGTGGATAGCCAGGAGTCACCGCATTTGAACCTCCTTGGCCACAAGGGAATTTTATATCAACATAACCCATCAAATGAAAATCAACAACCAGGAAATAGGTATTCACATTATCCAAGTTCTTTCATCGATATCTATACCCTGCAAATCCCAKATTCTAAGCATAAAATGGTAGTACTTTGTGCTTTATGATTTCTAATTAAGATATAGGTCTAAATGCTTATTAATGTAGTATAGCTTACTGGTGAACTGTTTCCATACTATTTTTGCTAGTCTTCATTTAGAGCATCTTTRGAGCCTGGGTAAATATTTTACACTGCAGGCACATATTTTCTGTTATCTTTCATGAAGTACTTACTGCAGGCACATATTTTCTATTTTTGCTTAGGATGTTAACATAAAGAGTTTAGAAAAAGTAAAAGTGGGCAGCCAGTTTTGAAGCCAGAAATCTATTTTGCGGCTTATTTTGAAGACTTTAACATTCATCTTTTTACTCTTTTGCACTTTGTTGATCAATTCATCCTAAAATCAAGTGAAAGATTAAGATCATAGATAACCTAAAATCATATCAAAACAATACAACAACTAAACCCTGGGAGTGGAAAAAAGAACCTGATGAGATTTTTGGAGGTAATGTTGGGGCTTTAAACATCCATTTTGGATCAATCCTAATTGAATGTAATGTAAATTCCCCTGCAAAACATTAGAAAAAAGATCTACATCATCAATTACACAAAAGTAACCATATCAAATCGAAGATAAAAACCTAAGAACATCAAAGAAAAATTATTCGAACCAAGCAGCAGCGAGGAGAGGTACATCGATGGAGATGACGATACCGATGGTCATATAATTTCAACAGGACTGATATTTTAAATGCAAGAAGAAATAGATAGCTGATACCAACGAAATTGCAGCACTCATACCACACATGGGGGTTCAGATGGCCTCTCTAGTAAGGCAGAGCCATCGCCATTTTCCAAAGTAGACTGCAGATGCATCAACAAGCCAGTCACCAATATGAGCACAAGTGAAAATCAAACTGACATATCACAGTGCAATTAAACCTACCAAAGCAAGTTTATCTTTTTGGTGGTTGAATATGCACTTGGGACCAAACTTGCACCGCTGAGTCTTCAAGAAATACTGCATCAAATAACAATTGACTTTCACTAAGATATCGATTCAATTTCACAACAATATATCTATCCACATACCATATATAGAGCTTCATCGCTATTTACCGAAATAGTATTAACACCAAAGTAGATGCAAGAATACAACTAACAGTATAGTAATACTTGACTATTTTTAGCATGTTAAAACCTCGCCATGAAAATAGACTGCAGAAAATTGTATATCTTGTGGGTGAACAAGAATATTAACAACCATAGGTGTGTCCTTAAATCCCACCCCCACCCCACTGCAAAATTAAGAAAAAGGATCCTGAAAGTTCTCGTATTCTTTATGTGTAAAGGGTAGACTGACTGGGTTGTCCGGATAACATCTTATGGTGCCTGTTATTTGCAAATCAAATCCTTAACAAGGCCAGGTTAAAGTTACAATAATGTATATGAGCTTTTATCATCAATGACCCTTAAACATGCAAAACCCTAAAATCACAATTTGAGACAGTCAATCTTCAAAAGTTCATGTTGACAAGATTTCAAAAACAAATTGAAACCATTTGTGTGTGAGTTGGTGCGAGAGATAAAGGGCATCTAAGATTATCTAATATGCAAGACCAAGTGTACAACAATTCAAGGTAATGAATTCTGTTGATCTGCAAAACTTTGAAGGAGCAGCAGCAAGTCAAAACTAATCATACCTTCTACCCCATGTATCCATAACCCATAGCCTCCAATGCAACAGTTGGTACCAGCAGAGATGTTACACTATCTATATCGATGCAAAATTGAGATTACAGAAACAGAAATAAGAAATTCGACCAAAAAGCATCTGAAAATTGCCTAAAAGATGATCCATCAAGAAAGAGAAGAATTTGTCCACCTATCAATGGGACTGCTGTGACCTCTGATAGGCTCTTGCTGGATATAAAAAAGTTCTCCAACCATTACCTTCTAATGCGTGACAACATCATAGCATAAAATCTAATTCAAATGGCATGATAAAATGCAGACAAAACCTCGGAGTACAAGTTTATAAGCAACCATGATACCATCTAGAAGCACAATCTTTTTAAAACATGACTAGTTTTGACAACAAACGATTGAAATGTTATTCTCCTTAACTAAAGAGCTTTTGATCATTTTGAAGCCAGATTTATAACCCAATTGAACTTACAGTAATTTTCCAGTTTCATTGTAGGTGGTTGAAACATAAGTAAAGTTTCCAAATGCTTCATCCCTTCTTCCTACCACTGAAAGTTCTCCTAATAATATTTTTACACTGAAATCTAATCTGAAAGTTCTGATTACTCTTAGCCTACGAGTACACAGTTAAACTACATTGCATAATGTTTTCAATTAGTTATGATGATTGCACAGAAGTCCCTGAAAATGTCTACTCAATATTTACAGTTCTGGCAAAGAGAGGCTGCAATGTTGAAGCAACAACTGCAGAACCTGCAAGAGAACCATAGGTAAATCTTCTATTTAATAAGAAATATATGTGTGTATGATGTTGACAATTGACATGGCTCAAAAAAGTGCAAAGTATTTAATATAGGGATACAGACTATATTATTAAGCAAAAAGGGAACCTTTTTGAATTTCTATATGGGCAAATGTGATATGATACATTCATACTGTGACATTCAGCTTCATACAGCTTCAGATTGCTACCATCTATAATAGATGTTTTTTATAATAGTATAGCAAACTTAGTCAACCAGAGGATATGATCTTTCCAGATGCAGAGTAATAACCAAAAACATAACGAGCATGCCTATTATTTACAAGGTTATATTATAGTAATAAGTATAAACAAACTGCTATCACTACAACCAATAAAGCAGATAGGATTAGGATTGGGATTGGGAAGGGGATGGTTCTGTAAGTGAAATTTTCAATTCCAATCGGATGCTACAGACAAGTTAAACCTAAATATGCTCACCTTATGAAATGCATTCGACCTAACGACAAATACATGAAATGACTAACCGAATGGAGAATCAGACCATGAAGAAGCAGGTTATGCCAGAAAGACAGAACCAGATTAGGGCAGAATACATACCTGATTTATGTATATAAACGAAACCAAATTGATAATGAGACACGATGACGGGACCTCAGCTGAGAAATCGATGGAGGCGATGGCAAAATAGGTAGAGAATTTGATGATGGCGACGGCGAAATCGGTAGAGGAACGACGAAGGCGACGGGGAGAGAGAGAGAGAGAGAGTCGAGAGATGGGAGCGATGGGTTATAAAAAAAATTGTATTTCTCTAATAAAATTGATAAATAATTAAAACAAAGACTTCAGGGAAGGTTTTTATTTTAAAAAGCGTCCCTAAAGCCCCTTCTCATATTTTTAGAAGCTTTTTATTAAAAAAAAACTCTCTGAAGCTTTTAGAGACAATTTTGGTAATGTATGATTTAGCTTGAAATATTTCTCTAAAACTCATCCTATCTTCAGTTACGTTTTCCACTTTTGTCATTTATTTTCTTCTCTATAGTATATCTTTAGATACACATCTAAAATCTTCTCTAAAAATTCCTTCTCTAAAGCCCTTTTTCCTTGTAGTGGTAATTGCAAGAATGATTCTCAGAAAATGACAATAGTTTCTCCGCTACCCTTCAAGTCTTCCAAAAAGTGAGGCGCAACCCCACTACTTTAGAATACCAACTTCAAGATATTAACATCTTCAATCCCTCAAAAAATCAATTATGTCAAGAATACATCAAAAGTTAAGCTTGTTAAAAATCAAATCATATTTTAACACAACCACGATTCATCTTGGATGTAGATATGTGTAAGACTCGAGGACAACATGCTTTTGCTTCTTCTTTTAACCTACCTTCTTTGAGCCCCCCACTTGTACTACCACCGTCAATATTAAGAGAAGGAATATTCCCTTTAGATACTATGCTTATCCTTCCTAAATCATTTTTAACAATACGAAGGTCTCTCTTAGTTTCTATAGCATGCAACCTAACCAATTTCTTTACTTCATCCCTACTATCGAATGACTACCCAATAAAGAAATGTACCTTGTTTGTGCTCCCTTTTGATTTTTGTTCCTTGAAGGTTGTCCTTTTTAACTTTCTCAATTGTTTTCCTTTCAAACTCAGGGTCATCTAAACAACTTTCATCATCTGAAAAGAGCAAAGATTGTTCTTCTTTATCTTCATCCACAATTGTTGTGTTTGGGTATTCTATTCTCCCTACCCATTCTGCATCATTGTTAGTAATTTTCTCCTTTCAATATATACATTTTCAACAATACAATCATTTTCATCATCCATGTAATCATTGTCTTGTGAATCATTCCCCTCACTAGAATCACCCTCCTGATTCACATGTTCTATCATATGCAGAGCTTCAATGGCTTCATCATCATCATCATCAACAAATATATTAACCTTATCAATCAAGTGTCGTGTAATATCATTGAGACTAGTCTTCTCGTGTTCAACATAAACATCAACTTCTTTGAATGTGTCAAATATTTTAACAACATCAAAACATCTTTGTCACTTCCTAATGCTTGTAAACCAAAATCTAGGTCTGTGTTAGAAATCATAAAATGATAATGTAAAGCTCCATCTTCTCAATAACCCAACT